ACTGGGAAAAAATAGAACATACCTTTCTCCGATCTTTAAGTCCTGTCAGATCCTTTCATTAACTTTGCTTGCATAATCATAAAACTATTTAAGAGAAAAATATTATTAAAATCACATAGTATTGTGAAATGACATGCTTAGCTATATGTGTCCATGGGGATCTAACCCTAAGATATAACTGTTTGTTTTCAATAGGTATGTAAAGAGAACCTAGTCTAAATGCTTTCTGATACAAGGTGTCTTTTGCATCAAAGAATACTCAAGAGTGCTACAGTGAAAGAGTATTACTTCTACACGTGGAAGTGTGTATAGAAGTAATTACAAAATGTGGGTTTCAAATGGCTGTGACAATCTTCTTTGTCTCTAAGTATCAATTACTTATTGAAAAAAGATAATGCAGCAGCTCATATACTGAGAAATGAAAAGGGAAAAAACGTTTGTTGAATGCTTAATAAGACACTGGCTGCATGCTTTCTCATGTTATTTCAGTTCATTCTCCCTTCAGTGCTGGGAGGTATTAGTTCAGCCAATATTAATAATTTTATTCCATTTGTTGTTTAGGATACAACTCGCTCAGGCTGGTTTTGAACTCCTGACCTTGAGCAATCCGCCCGCCTCGGCCTCCCAGAGTGCTAGGATTACAGGCGTGAGCCACCGCGCCCGGCCTGAACTCCAGTTTTATTATTCAGCTTTGTGTGTGTGTATATTTTAAACACAGGTGACATTACCGTGTTTATACTGTTTCATATTCCTAATTTTTTTTTTTTGAGACACATTCTCACTCTGTTGCCTGGGCTAGAGTGCCGTGGCATCAACCTAGCTCACAGCAACCTCAAACTCCTGGGCTCAAGCAATACGTCTGACCTCAGCCTGCCGAGTAGCTGGGACTACAGGCATGTGCTACCATGCCCGGCTAATTTTTTCTATATATATTTTTAGATGGCCAATTCATTTCTTTCTATTTTTATAGTAGAGACGGGGTCTCGCTCTTGCTCAGGCTGGTTTCAAACTCCTGACCTTGAGCTATCCTCCCGCCTTGGCCTCCCAGAGTGCTAGGATTATAGGCATGAGACACCTCACCTGGCCCATATTCCTAATTTTTTTCACAAGGTTATATATTGAGCATTAACTCAGAATACTAAAATGGCTGTATAATATTCCATCATATTTATATACCATACTTTTTTTTTGGAGACAGTCTCACTCTGTCACCCAGGCTGGAGTGCAGTGGTGCAATCACAGCTCACTGCAACCTCCAACTCCAGGGCTCAAGTGCATGCCACCACACCCAACTAATTTTTTAAAAAATGTTTTTGTGGAGACAGGGTCTCGTTATGTTGCCCAGGCTGGTCTTGAGCTCTTGGGCTCAAGCTATCTTCCCACTTTGGCCTCCCAAAGTGCTGGGATTACAGGTATGAGTCACTGCACCTGGCCTGTACCATAATTTTTATTTCTTAACTGTAAATTGACAAATTATAGTTATATATATTTAACTGTAATTTATTCAATTATTCTACTGTTGCTGATTTGATTACTTAAAACCCTTGTATTTCTGATTATTTTAAGAAAAATATAACAGTAAAAATAAATTGGACATCATTTACCTGGAAACATAAATTACATTTTAATTGGATCATATATATTCTTTTTTTTTTTTTTGATTTTCATACACAAACATAGCCTCTATCTTAAGCTAACTTTTTTTTTTTTGGAGATAGAGTCTCACTTTGTTGTGCAGGCCTAGAGTGAGTTGCCGGTGGTGTCAGCTTAGCTCACAGCAACCTCAATCTCCCGGCTCAAGCGATCCTATTGCCTCAGCCTGCCGAGTAGCTGGACTACAGGCATGCGGTCACCATGCCCGGGGCTAATTTTTGCATATATATTTTAGTTGGTCAGTTAGTTTCTTCTATTTTTAGTAGAGGTGGGGTCCGCTCAGGCTGGTTGGAACTTCTGACCTTGAGTGATCCACCTGCCTCGGCCTCCCAGAGTGCTAGGATTACAGTGTGAGCCACCACCCCAGGCCTTAAGCCTAACATTTTAAATGTACCTTTTAGGTAGTATAACCACCCTTTGAGGTACAGATATAATTTTGTACATTTCCTGCGGAAAAAAATCCAAACTAGAATCAATTATAAAGAGCTTTTCTGTCATCTTAATATTATATATCATCTCTGCTTTTGTGCTGGAAATTTGGATTTTTTGAAAAAATCCTTACAGAGTTCATATTATGTATAAAGTATCACAGGAAATACTATTGAAACATAAACATAGTTTTTGCCTCAACAAATATCATGGACAATGAAGCATGATTTCCAAGTAAAGTGCAGCAACAAATTGTATCAAATGAAAGGAAACACAAACATTTGTTTAACACAAAGTTCTATAAAATCAAAACTACAAATCAACTTTTAAGATTTCTGGACTCTTAGCTCCAGTAAAAGCAAAGTCCACTGTAGATGACAACTTGTCTAGATCTACTGTGTCTCCAAACAGCAAATCCTAATCTAAAATATGAAATAAGTTGGTGTCTGCAAGATGAGCTGGATAGCTAAGAGATTCCAGATACTCTTGGGCAAATCACTGGAAATGAATGCAGGACCACGTGATGCCCTTCCCATTCGGGCAGGCAGCTTGGTTAGACTGCCAGTACTCAGCACCTCTAGCACTATCACACACAAAACATTTCCCCTGTCTTCTGACCTACCCTTTCACAATTCCTATTCTTCCTCTTATCCTTACATGCTTTTCTTTCTTCCTTTGCGTGAAATATACCCATCAGTGGTACTGAGAAGGTCCTGTACATTAGAAAGGCTGTTGATTGGATCTAACTGCACTTACTCTTGACACCCTTAAACAAAGGCATTTTGGGCTGGGCGCGGTGGCTCATGCCTGTAATCCTAGCTCTCTGGGAGGCCGAGGTGGGCGGATTGTCAAGGTCAGGAGTTAAACCCAGCCTGAGCAAGAGCGAGACCCCGTCTCTACTATAAATAGAAAGAAATTAATTGGCCAACTGATATGTATATAAAAAATTAGCCGGGCATGGTGGCGCATGCCTGTAGTCCCAGCTACTCGGGAGGCTGAGGCAGAAGGATCGCTGGAGCCCAGGAGTTTGAGGTTGCTGTGAGCTAGGCTGACGCCACGGCACTCACTCTAGCCTGGACAACAAAGGGAGACTCTGTCTCAAAAAAAAAAAAAAAAAAAAAAGGCATTTTGTTTGGTTTGGCAAGTTAAAAACTTTCACTGGCACTTTTTTCTCAAGTGATTACTAATAACCAATCTATTTTTCTAGAATTAATATCCCAAGGTAAAAAAATTAAAACCTACAGATGGTACAACAGAGTAAATTATAAATGAGATTATTAGACAATACTGCAGCAAAGGGCCGGGCACGGTGGTTCACGCCTGTAATTTTAGCACTCTGGGAGGCTGAGATGGGTGGGCTGACGTAGGCGGATCTCTCGAGGTCAGGAGTTCGAGACCAGCCTGAGCAAGAGTGAGACCCCATCTCTACTATAAATAAAAAGAAATTAATTGGCCAACTAATATATATAGAAAAAAATTAGCCAGGCATAGTGGCACATGCCTATAGTCCCAGCTACGTGGGAGGCTGAGGCAGTAGGATTGCTTGAGCCCAGGAGTTTGAGGTTGCTGTGAACTAGGCTGACGCCACGGCACTCACTCTAGCCTGGGCAACAAAGTGAGACTTTGTCTCAAAAAAAAAAAAGATATTTAAGGCAGGGAGAGATAGCTCACGCCTGTAATCCTAGCACTCTAGAAGGCCGAGGCTGGC